AACCCCTTGAGTATGATGATTTTAACCCCTTGAGTGTGATGATTTCGCCCCTTATGATGAATTAGCCCCTTGAGTACGAAGTCAATCCTATGAGTACAATGCAACACTCACTATTCTATTTACAATGCATCTATGAACTCCATAAAAAAATTAAAATAAAATAAAAATCAGTGTCATGTCAAATCTGAACCAAAATGAACCCCCCCCCCCAAACATAAAAGTTCGGTTCCAAAAACATTACAAGATCAACTCTGAACCTTTGAACTGAACCTTTTAACACAAAAAGATTCAGATTCTATCAAACACTACAATACCAGATTTGAACCTTTGAAATGAACCCTCAAAATGTACAAAGGTTCATAGTCTATCAAAATTTGAACCGCTAAACTATCACCATAACTTGAACCATCTTAAGTTTAATTGAATCACTAACTTACTGTAATAATATTAACTTGTTATATTCCAATGAATTTTAACTTCACGATTTTCATATCTCACTTAAACAGACGCACAATATATAAATACATTCTATATATTTCAATAAAATTTGAAGAAAAATCACCATATATGATAAATTTTCCAAATATTTTGAGAACTATATTTCACTAGACTATCGAAAAAACACCGAAAACATTAATTAATTTTATATAAAACACCAAAATACATTTATACAAATATACTGTAGTAATAAATTTCATACATTTCAATAACATATACAAAATTTACCTAATCGTTTCACATTACTTATGTCATTAAATACATAAAACAGGTAATTTTAATTAGTCCAGGTAGAGTTAATTTGATCAAGTAAGAGTTATTTAGGTCAAGTAGAGGTAATTAGGTCAAATATCCTCAAAGTCGTTACCGTTTCCGTATCGTTACGTTAGAAATTGGACCTAAATGTTGTATACGTCACAGCACGCATAAATGACCTTACCTTAGGATGACGCTTAGAGGAATGAGAGAGGCGCGTCCCTCCTTGGTGGTACAAACCGGCCTACATGGGGACGCGCCCAGTACATATGAGCCTCCTGATTGGTTACCGGTTTGTTACGTCATATGTATGCATCACACAATGGAAGGAGAGAACAACACTGACTTCCTGATTGGTCAATGATTCCTTACTGGCTTCCTGAATGGTCAATAATTTGTTACGTCATATGTATTTCACACAATGAGATGAGAGAATAATATTGGCTTCCTGATTGGCTGTTGATTCATTACATCACATATATACATCACACAATGGGAAGGACTAATAATACTAGCTTCCTGATTGGCCAATGACTGAATACATCACATAATTAAACAGCTAACTCCTGATAACTGGCCAATCACAGGAAAACAGTTCAGAAAACATCCTCGGCCGAGATTTTCAAAAGGTTCGTAATTTTAGGAAAAAACACGATGTCAAAATGGCGTCAAAACTGCTCCGAGACCAAACTAAAGATATACGCTGCAAATCTACTTATAATCACTACCTCACTTTCTCTCTCCCCATCACAAGCCGCCATTGACTCGGGGGAAATCAACGAGATAGTTCACTTGGTATTTATTCATGAAATTCGCACGTATACACACCCACTACCTTACTAAAGTTCCTCCTTGTCTCTCATAAACCTAACTAAAGTTCCTCCTTCTCTCTCATAAAACTTACTAAAGTTCCTCCTTGTCTCTCATAATCTTTCAGATAATCTCTACCTCAGCTTATTTAAAGATTAATCACCTTAACACTATTTATGAAGGGGAGCAGGATGAGGTTAGTGCTAGGGTGGAAATTCTTCAGGTGATTCAAATATTCTCTCTCTCTCTCTCTCTCTCTCTCTAGGAGGTGTTATGTCATCATGGCATCAAGGTCAGATATCATCACCAGTAGAGAACCAAGAAGCAAGACCTAGAATATTCTTTACAGCTTAACTATACAATGAGTTTAATACTTTAATTCTGTATAGTCGAATTTATTCTGACGAGTATACATGTTCTTTGAGGTTTAATCAATAGAACTATGAATATTTTAGAATACAAGGGTATTGTCACTTAATCACCATAATATAGATATTTATTTAGCTCACATAGTTATTATTATAATGACTCGACAGGTGTATTAATGTGTTGATTTTGTTTTATTTGTTTGTTTTTCAACTGCCAAGGTCATAAAGAATCGATCAATTTTTTATATCACGTTATCCAAATTAAGAATAAATGTATTCTTTTAACGAAGTAAATATATAAATAATACTTATTGGCAACTGATAAGAGATGCACTAGGTTACAGTGTGACGCTCCCACCTCCACCAGGGTATTGTTGGGTGCGTTGTGAACAGTTACCTAACCCTCCTGGGAACGCACCCTGTGTGGCATGAATACTGTAGTCTCCCTTTGTGGCCTCCATCAGGTGATACTAATAATACCATAAACGTCAAATAATGTATAAAGGGAATATTTCATGCTGTAGTGTTGTTCAGAGACCACTCGAGGCTCTAATTGGTCGATGAAATAATGTGATAGATGAAAATGCCGTGTTGTAGTGACGAGTCGTTCCTATAACAACAGCAGCAAGGGATGACATTGTTTACACTTCCTCTAATATATCATTTCAAGTCTGTGTGTTATTCATCCCTAGGCTATGTTATTAAAATTTTATGTACCTAATATTATTCCCACCAAAACATTCTTTATAATCTACGCAATACAGTACGGTTCTGTCGCTCTAAGACAAATATCTATACCATTTAAAACCAGAACAAATATTTAGGGACGTACATTATAGCAAGAAGTAACACATCCCATCATTCCCGGTGACGTTGTTTGTCTTATGATAATAATTAATAAACAACATACGATTTGGAGGAAGACGAGAGATGTAAGAAACTGCACGATCATTGCAGTGCACCGGCCTCCAGGGGTTTATATCTGTCATTAACTCTGATAACAAACAATTGCATTAAAATGTAACCCCATTTTCTTCTCTGACTAAGTAACCAACGACCTGCCTAAAATGCAAGAAATTTAATATGATACTTCACTCAACGCCAAAAAGCAGCTTTATGGAGAGGTCCGATGAATTTAAAAATAAACACCACGATTTCTGGTGTCTCGGTAGTGTTAAAATCTTTCATTTGTTGTGCCATATTGTCTCACACAAAGTCATAAAGATATGTTTTGGAGCGTGTGTCCATATAAAAACATTTTGTACAGTACAAACAATCCATTTTTGTTTAGTTTTTAAAAAGTAAATCAAAGCTAATTCAAATCAATTAAACTATTGCTACAAGAACCTTCACCTGTACTACAAATATTATTTATCCTTCTACATGTAAAGCTTTTATTTCTAAATGGTGAAGCTTCATGGACAAAAAACACAATCAGTTTACTTACCTTACCAATGACAAACAAATTAGCAAAGTCAACCTCAAAATCATAACGCGTTTAAATAATAACTAAATAAGATGTAAAATCTCTCTAATCTCCACTAAAGTACAAAGTCCCAAACCTTGATAAGGAACAAAGTACTCAGCTACACCCTGAGGAAATATTTACCCTACAGTCAGTATCTACATCACTCATAACCAGATGACTATGTCCACTACACTACTAGCCACAGGAGAACCACTAATACTATAGCATTCTCCAGTCGGTCTCTTCTGCAACCTGCTCAACATATCAACTATTAAGTTAAAAAGAGAAGCAAAACTTCAAGATTCCTAATGATTCAAGAACAGCTGGACTGATACTATTAAAATCATAAGAATTCAAAGCAAAGTGGGGCATGCTGCAGCAAACACAATGGCTCTCTGGCAAAAACTACAAGGTTGAATACAAGATGACAGCTGAGAAACAATACCTGCAACACTATGGGTAATCAGGGAAGGTTCCTGGGTGAAGTCCCTTGAATAGGGTTGGGTGCCATCTTGGTAGGAGGGGAAAAACATATACTACATTACAAAAGGATCAACATAATCATCATAATCAATGGACCAGGAAGTGATGAATTAATCAATGGTGTTCTCGAGGATTCGGCACGGTGCAGTAAACTGACATTGAATCAGCGTGGAAGTTAAGGATTCATTTTGGAAACTGCTTATGAAAATTTAAGAAAAGAGTCCACGTGTGTGTGTGTGTGTTACTCTACCTTGTTTTAGCCCTTCCCTTCCCTTCCCTTCCCTTACTATACTGTTCCTGCACTATTCTCATCTACTATTTTCTTTAAGGTTCTCTGCTCAGTCATCAATTCCACATCAACATGAAGAGGAGTAAAAATAAGACAAAATAGAATAAATGGCATTCAAATCCCACTGCTTCCCAGCCTTTCTTAACAGCAATTTGTCAACGCATCACTACACACTGGCTCATCAGATATTTTGTTTAAGCTGGCACATATACAGTGAGGTCCAATACATATACTGTATATGAAAGGTATAATAACCCAAACACATGTCTGTCATATAAGAACATGTATTAAAAAATAAGTCTAATGTGTCGTGTACATTGCAGTCATCAGCAAAACAAAAGTACCGCTCGTTGTAATGACAGAGTGTGAGAGTGCCTAAACTACTGCATTAATGGTTGTATTAAAAGGAGATTATGTTAGAACTAGGGAAAGGTTGACAGTCATCAGTCGTCGGGCACCAAGAGACACATCATATCATTTCTTCCACTTCCAAATCCACCGAGATGATGTCATTCTTATTAAAATTTACAAAAACTCAAACTAGGCTCAAAAATTAGTAAACAATATTTAATGTGAACAAAACTGAAACAGCAAATCAAGAAAAACTGCATACAACAAATTAACAGTAAGCATCAACTGAAATCTAAACTACAGTAATTTCATAAACTTAAAATTATATATTCGGGGTAATTAAATAAACGACAACAATGCTTCTCAACATAACACACAGAGTCTATACTTAAGATGACTCGAAGCACATTACCTAAAATACATAAGATACGACAGAAGACTTATCCCAAGAACCTAATAACATCTCGGTAACACTCACCCTCACTCTCGCACGTCAAACTGTCAGGCATCAGCAGGAGACCATCTGGACAGGCGCAGGTGATTTTTGCATCAGAAGGGCCTGTCTGTGGTGCTGGCAGGCATAGGTGGGTGCAGAGACCGTTGAGAGGAGTACAGTGGTTGGTGCCATTGGGTTGCCTATAGCTGTGGTAAACGTGGACAGTCATCGGGTTCTGTAAGATGGGAGATGCAAATATAGTACAGGACAATGTGTGTGTGTGAGAGAGAACCAGCCACCCTTTTCCTACAATGTAATTAGGGTGACACACACACGCACACTATTCTACACACACTCTTATCTTTGTCTGTTTCCAGTTGCTCTCACCACGAAAAAACGTACATTAAAAAACTTAAGAATTGTAATACTTTCATGCATAGGAAAAATGCAGTGAAGTATCTCTTGTAAATATTGCAAATCTACATACAGTGAGACCTCTTTTTAATGGACTATGTAAGAAGTTAGTCCATTATATAGAGGTTTCAATAATTCATCAGGGGAATATTAATGCCAGGCAACAGATCAACTTACTGCATGAGAATCGGTAACAACTTCAACGTGTTCTCCGGTGAATTTGTTGGCCCGGAAAATGCTCTCCTTGCTCCAGTCAGTCCAGTACATTGTGTCCTCAAACACTGTGATGGAGAATGGATGGGGCAAGTATTCTGTTGAGTGAAGTATGACCTGCCAGCAGAGAAAAACATTACATTAATAAACACAGAAAATTAGAGTCAATAAATAAAATATCCCACGATGTGTGGAGGAGGATCTTCCAGACATAATATTCCTTATAGCAGGATAGTGTGAACTGATTATTATTATCGGGAAATATTCAATACTTTATCTTCTCGTTATCGTCATCTTTAAGGACAAGTAACATGGAGAGGAATATTCATACAAGATCAGTTAAACAAGTATGAAGGTCTTGTCTTGGGTATTATTAACTTGTGACATGGGGCTACTGATCCCTTGTTTATGTATGAAGGGTTCCACAGTTTAGAGAGGAAGGATATGGCTCTACAGGTTGACTGACATAAGGTTGTGGAGGAATCTTTTAAAAGTCAGGGTAAACATTAATCAACAATGCCCAAGGAAGCTACAAATACAAAACAATAAAGGTTTCTTACCCTGCGGTTAGACCCGTCAAAATCACAAGAGTAGATGGTGTTGGATTTAGAGTCTGACCAGTACACCTTGCGAAGGACCAGGTCGAGGCTCAGAGCGTTGGGCCACTTAATCTCTTTGGAGACGATGACCTGTGGAGTTAAAGCAGTGAGAGTGAGTCCCTTAAACCTGTTGACCTATTAAGGGTAGTGTGGATACATGCAGTCGAGTGTATATCGAGTGTTTTGTATATAAGGAGGCACAGGATCAGCACTGCACCTGACTTACGTACCTGCCTCAATTTACCGTCCATGCCAGCCCTCTCGATCTTGGGGAACTGTCCCCAGTCTGTCCAGAACATCCAGCCCTCAGAAGGGTAGAGCGCTATGGCACGAGGCTCATCTAAACTGTGATGGAAGAGGGTCTTTCTCATGTCTCCGTTGAAATCTGCCACCTGGGAAAAACATTACAGGAGTTATTAACTGTTGTTGAAGTGAATGTTACCAAATCAGTGTACAATATAAATAATGATGGTAGCTTGTCATGGTTGAAGATGCTTGGCACTAGGGCCACCAAGGTGTGATTATGTTCATGGTGTGGAAGCTGTTACCAAGCCAACAACAACACTCTGAGTTAATAAGTTGCATGATCCAGTATCAAGGAACAACTCAACAAGACCAGTCAGCTTGCCAAACACACTGGCCAACTATTACCTTAAAACCTGATACATTAATTGATTAACACCTGGCTTCACCATTACTGCTGGGTAGACAGAGGCAAATGGCTTGAAAAATGTGAACCCATAGTTTCACTCTGCCTGAGGTGTCAGAATCAGGACTAAACACACTACTTCCATTCACTACCATTCACTCATTCTTACTGTAGCAACAGATGTGTTCTGTTACAGTACTCTCACATCACAACAAGGCCCCAAATATCTACAGTATCTGGTTTACCTTCATCACTTCATACAACACACTGCTTGCTGGACATCCTCACACTATCAACAGAAATCAAGATAAACATCACACAATAACAAGAAGACACTCACCTCAATAGTGTCTGTGTCTGTGTTGGTCCAGTAAATGTGGTTATAGAGCCAGTCAACAGCCAGGCCATCTACAGTTGTTACATCATTGGTAATCACCTTCACCATTTTGCTGCCTTCATCAATAGGAGCTCTGGATAAATGCATAGAAAAGATGATCATTTAGTAATACAGACTATTGACATGCATGATGACATATTATTCATTAATACACAAATTAACAGCCCCATAGGAATATATTAATCCTTTGTAACATAAATAATACACAAAATAATAAGGTAAAAGAAACTCTGATGAGATACAGACTTACTTGTAAATACATTTTGCCACCACATCTGTCCAGAAAATCATCCCAGTCTTAAACACGAAGTCGAGAGCTGTGGCTCCCTGAGTCTCATTCACAATTGCTGTAATCTGGCCAAGTAAAAAAACATACAGGAATAAGTGAACAATCTATACATTACAGATACATTAGTGTATTTCTGTGTGAAGGTAGATACCAGACACAGTTCATAGATTTGTGACACTTTGAATTTTGAAAGTAATGTTCTATATCAAGCTGTAGATACATAACCACTCCTAATTTTTAATATGACAATTGAGAGTCACATCTATGTTATGAGTCACATCTACACTAAGCTCTGTCACAGATAACACACACAGCACTAATAAACAGACCTCTTTGTGATCCAGCGAAATTTTCCGTATGTCTGTATAGCGAGCAAACAAGAGCGAGGCGTGACCTTCCATCGCTTTACACCGGTGATGGTTGTGTGGGTCACGAGCGTAGCCCCCAACACACTCACACTTGTAACTCCCCTTGAGGTTGACACACACTTGAGAGCAGATGCCTGGTTCCATACACTCATCAATGTCTGGAATGGAAGAAATATTAAGGTATTTTGTGTTTTTCTCTGGATTATATTAAAGTATTTTGGGTTTTTTTTTATTACATTAAAGTATTTTGGGTTTTTCTCTGGATTATTATTTTAACTCATATTTTTTTGTATTACACTATAAGGTATCTATGTCCACAAGCAAACACACAAACTTTATCTATCATTTCACCAATCATCAGTTTACTAGACTTTTAGGCAGTTGATCTGTTCTTTGTTTCTTGTTATGAACTTTATTGTCCAGTGTTAGTGCAGAACAAGAACACCTATGATGCTTGATAGAGTCACACTGGATTCGTTCTTATTCACTCTCTCTCTTATGACTGTAAAAGGTGTATTTTACTGCAGTATTACCTTTCTTTAATATAAAACCATTTAAAGACCACAAATAGAGGCACGATAATGTACACTATCACTCTTAAAACTTTTGTCGAGGGTCCCCAGAGAGGTACAAAACCTTAGAGGATTGGTAAAAATCAGCCCGAGGAATTTTAAAATGAAGGACTGTGATCGTCAACCCTCAGATATGAAGGCGGTGCTTTGATTGAGATCTTAAGCATAGAATAAAATCACACACAATGAACCAACTCAACTCACCCTGACACTGTGTTCCATTCACAAGCATGAAGCCTTTTTTACACTTGCAGTAGTGACCAGCGCGAGTATCAACGCATGTTTGTGTACAGCCGCCATTATGGACCTCACACTCGTTCCTGCCGCACGTGCCATCGGTGGGCTCGTCAGCGTTATTTCCACAGTCGTCATTTCCATTACACACCAACTCCATGGGGATGCAATGGGTGCCACAATTAAACTGAGCATCTTCAATACAAGTTGGTGCTGTGAAATAGTAAAAGATTGCAAGTTAGGTTTACTGAGAACTTAATAAGCTTATTGAACTCCACTTAATTTATAGGACTGAACCACACATTGAAAACACTGCAAGAATAGAAATTGTAAAGCACAAGAGGAGGTGGGAAGAGGTGGGAAAACAATACAGTACAGTGTACTCCAATTTATAAGGCATTAACCACAGAGGGGGTAAGAAGCTATACTATAAATAGACCGTGACCCCAAAAAAACAGGAGTTAAGACTTGAAGACGAGTGTATGAAGTATATAAGAATGACCTAATAAATACATATCACGGAGAGAATACAGAAGATGAATAAGAGGGAACAAAAACCCAATGAACATAATGGAGAGAGACAAAACTAAGCTTCTGGGGAAGACTATGGAGACAAGTAACAGTGAATGTGAGGAAATGAGACAGTAAAGTGCTTTCAATCCTGACCAATAGGAGTAGAGTATATAACAAAATGGAGCAGAGAGAGAGAGAGAGAGAGAGATAAGAAAACACCCAAAAGATGGATAAAACCTCTAGATAGGAAGATAAATTAAAACACTAGATGAGTAACTAGAGATAAAGGTCATAGGTGGTGATGATGATGATGGATAGGTTTATTAAAAACTCTATATACAAATAAACATATAACCAAAAAAAATAATAACTATATAAAAACAAAGAACAAATAAATACATAATAAAACAATAAAGAGAAGGACCCACCACAATTAGCTTCATCAGACTCATCGGCACACTCTGGGAAGCCATTACACAGTAGCTTCTTGTGGATGCACGTCTCGTCGCCACACATGAACGAATCTCCAGGACACGGCAGGATACAGTTCTCCGCACTCTCGTCGTCTCCGGCAGGGCAATCCATGTCTCCGTCACACAGCCACTCTCGGCGGATACACGGGAACCTTAATGCACACACGTATTCATCGTCGCTGCACGTGGCATTAGGACAGTTCTGGAAAGGTCATGAATAGAGTTAACTCTCTATAAGGCTTGTGAGGGGAATCGTCTCTATCTGCCAATTAAAAAATAGGCTTCAACTTGATTCAAAACAAAAACAAAATACATATACGGTATAAACGCCGAGACAGACGTTACAATATTTATCTAAAACAAAATTACTGAAATTGCTATCTTATAATAACTTACAAAACTTATGAACTGTACTCTATATCCTTCTTAATTTTAACATTTCTACGATTTATCAACTTATTAGCCATTCTGGTGGTTGGTCTGTTCTTTATTACGACTTTTATTATCCAGAGTTAATACAGTACAGGAGAGAGATCTTGAAGTGTTTGGTAATGTCACACTGGATAACATTACTCTCATACAGTGGGCGGGGACTGAACCCAGAACATGGTAGTGAGAGGCACACAAGTTACCACCAACTCTCCTTTCTACCTATTCAACTACCCCATTTCTATTTTTCTCTCATAAACCAAGGGAACTACTGTACAATTTATTTACCAGTTCCTCAATCTCTGCCAGTACTTAATTCTTCAATCTTTTCTTTTTTTTCCGCCAAACCAACACAGAAAATCCAAAATGATATGAGTCCCATTGTCGTGCATATTTACAAAAACTGGAATTAGATATTTATGGTCCATGTGTGAAGCACTGTTGTGGAGAATTTATTACCTAAGTTTTAATCACTGTTATTGGGTAACTGGGCCAATGTTTCAAGCACTCTATTTTGGGTTGTAAATTTTAACCCTTTGTGTACAGGGTCCTCTCACTGCTGAATAAAATTGTCTGGCATTAGTTCACTACATATCAAAAGTAGCTAAATTATATCTCCCAGGAAGAAAACACAAATATAATACCATACAGTCGCCCAAAAAACTATCTGTCCTTGGGGTGATCGATGAGTCCCAGAATGAACACTGTGACTCCTGTTGTCTCGGTAGGGTTGTCAAAATCCTCCGTCTATTGCATTACATTTTTTCAACACAATTTTGTATAGATAGTTTTTTGAGTGACTGTAGATAATTATAAACTATTTCTACTAATAAATAAATAATACTAAACACAAAAAAATATTCCCGTTCAATGACTAATATTTCTAGTACAGTAACAGCCAATAATGTGATCCAATGTGGGGAAAGAGTCTTGTGGGCTAAGTCAATAATAAGTCTATAGCTAAGGGCCTCGAGGAGCTATAAGAACTTAAAACAAGATTAAAAGCTTTTGTTACAGTATAAATGATTCTGAATCCATTAATATGATCTGATTCCTCTCCTTTTATCAAGATTATTTTAACATTAATAAGAACTTTTGTCTTTCATCTTAAACTTTGGTTAAATTCTCACTTATAAATTACAATAAAAATAAAAAAAGAGTAAATATTTATCAATAATTACTTGGAGAGATTGACAATATATATGTTACGGTAAAGTGACAAGTCTCAAAATTAATTATTTTTATGGTACAAAAAAAAATGAACCACAATAACTAGAAATTAGTATCAACATCTTTAAATCGTCCTGAAAATCTGAAACATATTATTTTTGTTGTTGGTAAAGTTGATAAGAATTTAATAAAAAACATCCAATGTTCCACAAATAAATACAAATTATATCACAACAAAGTCAAAGCAAAACAAACATGTAATAAATGATCCAGTTAATATGTTAAGCCATGCAGTGAAAAATAATACCACAAAGAACAAAATAATACCACAAAGAACAATTAAACTTCAGAGAACAATTAAGCTACAAAGTAATTATTATCATTATTAACCCTCTACAAAGCCCACTACAGTATCATCCACATTATCCCAGACTTGATCTAAATATATCAATGCATTAAATTACTACTGTGAAATATTAGAACATCTGAATGATTTAACCCATACCCATGACTTAGTTCTACCTTCTACAGAATAAAAGCAATTAAATAAACTATAGTGAAATATTTTGCTATAAAATTTGTTTGATAGAAATCAGATAAGCAGAATTAGTAACATTGAGAGTAAAAATTATAGAGAAATAAATAGAGAGGTAGTAGCTTATGGTGTAAAGTACGTTTATCTAATGGTGGTAGTAGTGGGAGCCTCGTGCAAGTCTACCTCCATGATGTTAGTCACTTCCATCGCTTTTGTGGCAATTTTACGATTTGGTTTATGTTTACCTCTGTGATCATCAGTTCGCTTTAATGTAGTCGGGGAATTGATGGGAATCGGGGTATTGGTTGATTTCCGACTTGTTGTCACGTCCTTTAGAAAAAATATGACTCTTTCTCCATTATGTATTGTGTCCTCCTCATTTGGCTATCATCCCATTTTCAGTCCTGTTCTTACCCCATCAAATCCCTCGTCTCTCTTCAGTTTACCCTAAAATTACTCCTCATCTTTTTTCTCCTCCATTTCAATCGTCATTTGTCATTTTTATTGACTGATAATATCCACGCACTAGTTGGGTTACACATAGGGGTGCGGACCACTGGTGGGGGAAGGTCAGCCATCATAATAAAACTCTTGTCTGAAGGTGAAAGGCTTGAACACATTACACAAGATGACATCAGGTGGTTAAAAGTTAAAACAAAGGTGTCAGGATTAAGTTAGCTGGAGAGTATACCGAGAATAAAGAACTATGAGGTGTGGAAATGTCAGGGGAGGGATGGGAGAGGTAGTGGGTGATGTAGACATGTGGTTGAGAAGCAAGGAATCAATAACTATGAAGGAAGACTCGATCAGTTCACTCATAAGAGACGTAGGAATAACAGGGCATTGTCGAAGGAGATTTTAACACACCTTTATCTTATATAAATGATTTCACCTTAGATCCTGTCTGCTGAAGTTTAATAGACAACAATTAAACTATCCTAATCAGACATTTTCTTTTGAGGTCATGAACTCAAACAACATCCACCAATGCACACTGCAGCACATGCTTATTATAACTGCACAGCAATCACAACAAACATGGAGCACTTCTTTTAAATCTCACTTCAACTCAAGAAGAAACAGACAATGTCTCAATATGCATAACAGACCAAGCACATTACATCAATAAATGTCTTACCTTTACAAATAATTTTTGCCACTGTATCTTACAACCACAGACCCAGAAACAAATTATTTTTTTATAGTACAACAGATCACTGACGTAATTTACAGCCTTGTGTTATTAAATGTTGATGAGTCGCATCTTATTTGAATAATGAATGTCTACTTTCAATTCACGTCTCAATCCATCATTTATATTATTTGCTTAACTATATCAAGTGGGATGTGGTGTATGAGTCATCCCCAAATCCCACTTCACAAAAGTGTCAAACAACTCCCTATCACTGCCTGAATGCTCCACATATAACTCACTTTACAAACTAAACTTCATCAATGAAACTTCAGTCCCTATTCACTCTCAACTTTCAGACAAAAATTTTTTTCCCACTGGACAAAGTTTGTTATCCCTGCCATGTCGCGTTCCTAGGCCGTGAAACCTTGCTAATAATTCCTAATTATCACCACTAACCTAGATTATCTACCTCTTGCTTACATAACTCTCTGTCTACTGTTAAACCTTTTGTGTCAGTCAACCACTACAATTATATGCTCTTCACCTCCACCCCAATATACCCGGTACTCCCGTTCATGTATATTTCTAAGGACCTTTTACTGGAACTGTTTATTACACCTTCATGGTATAATCTCTCTTAACCCCTTGTGTATGGGGTTCCTCTGGTCTGAATAAAGTGTCTGGTGTTAGCCAAATAAAAAATAAAAAGTGGCATCCCCATACTGAAGGGTTTAAACTCCTCTCCTCTTCAATACTTTACTTCAAAACTTCTATTCCCCCCAGCGTCAGTCTTGCTCAATACAGACCCCTTGATAACCTACAATCACACACCACTTTAAGTCCCTCAACATTCAAACTACCATCAAAATGAAATCGTCCATTGCTTTCTATTGCTATAATTTTCCATTTACTTGACCACTATAACAGCTTCATTACTATACAACACTGTGGGCAGCATACAGTGTCATAGTGGTTTAGCCTTACCCCTCAGTTACTCATATCATTCTCACCCATATAGACATAATGATGATACTGCTAGGTGTCATATTATAGAGACTATATTCCACTATTCCTTATTAACAAAAACAACAATAAGTTTTACTGATGAGTCTAGTTAATTAGCTAATACCTAGACAGGTGAAGTTATTTATTAAAACAACACAGCGTACCTAAGAATATTTTCCCCGTTTTGTATAATAGATTTTCTTATATTCTTACATCCTTTTCAGGCCTTAAGGGGAAAATAAAAGCATGAGAAAAACAAATAAAGTACGTATGATAACTTACCTCTTTCTACCTCCACCATCACTTACATAACCTAAGTAGTCAATTCTCCACACAATTTCACCTCTTTCAGTGGCTTGGCTAAGACATGTCAATTCTCAAGAACACATAAATTATGAAACTTTTCCTCATGACATCACAATAGCCTATGTCTCTGTGGTTATCAATAGTTTCATCTAACTCCCATTAACTTAAAATACTCATGGCTTCGCTTACTTTTAATAAGCCGCTTAACTCAAAACTTCACTAATATCTATACCATCATTCATACTCATAACTTCACTATATCGTAACTGATCCCATTACTTTATGACTGTCAATAACCTAACGTCACACTATCCAAACACCGCCTGAGACACCTACCCTCTAAACCCTAATCAAAGAACATCTCTTTTGTCTATTTAGAAACAAAGGGAATTACTAATATCCAAATTAAACAACCTGATGACTGCTACAAATTCACATAATATTGTTGAGACGACTCTGCACTTAATGTTCCCTTTAATTCTTTACATCATAGTGCAGAATGAATGTTGTTATGTGAACCAATACTGTATCAAGACAATGTGTGGATGTGTGCCACCAGTACAAACAAAACAGCTGAACGGTTTTATCAGAAAAAGTGTAAATGTTATTAATCTTAAAGAAAACTTGCTGAAACCACAGTTGCCCCCCGGCCACATGTCCTTCTCTGTCCCAGTTTACCAGACTGATGCGACGTCACCATTGCTGATGATGATATGTGCAGCTGGAAATTTAAGTGCATGTTCCCTCTAGGATTGAAGCCTCGAGAGAACATTACCTGCACTGTACTTAAGAGATTAAAGATTTTTTGAAAATTTGTGGTGTCTGCGCACTAAAAGCTACGAGGTATACTTAGACGAAATATACATTGAGAGAGTTATCAAGGAAAGAGAGGTGGATGGTGCTCTTGTGTACAGTGTTGGGACTTCAGGGGTGCAATGAGAACCTGTGAGGGTTAATTATATGCAGGAAGCTTTACTTTAACTTCACCATAGCACCCAGCAACTAAGAGAAACATTAAAGAAAGATCATGGAGGAAATGAACTTCGACTTGAAATGAAACTGATACAGAGTTCAACAGCTGATAAATATTTTACATTGGGTTATACAAAGTAAGCATAGGAGAGCTGTGCTGTAAGGCCTCTTAACTGTGGTAGCTGTAGCCTGTGTGAGGACGAACATTGTTTTGGTAGTGAAAGAGCAGCTGGGAAAAACGAAAATGGGTACAATGATATAAAAGAATGTCAGGTATTATGGGTCCATTGCATTAGACTCTGTGCAACTCTAACATGTGTGTGTATTGCAAGAGACAAAAAGTATTACTAATTCTAAAACTGATGTGGAAATGAAAATGCAACACAACTATTACAGCAAATGAAGGGAGGACTAATATAATCTTACTTGAACAAAATGGTTCCTGTTACTGTAGTTCTAGGAATGTTAAACTTAATAGAATAAAAAAAATCCCCAAACACTAATTGGCTGCAAGAGTGGAAGTGATAGAGGAATGCAGTTGTTTCGGCATAAAGGTGGAGGGAAGCGTAATGAGCAGAGCGGTAGTGCAGATTGTAATGCCAACTGCAGGTGAATGTGTGAAAGGTGAAGAGGTCTATATGAAGCAGAGATAATTGAAAGAAAAGTTTAGGAATAAAATAAGTGTGAAGAATCTCTCACTATATAGAAAATGCAAAGAGGGAGAGAATTACTGGCCTGACACCATCACCCTCAACACACTGGCTTGATACTTTCACTCGACACACTGGCCTGACACCCTCACCTGATACACTGGCCTGACATAATTAAATCACTAGAAACACGTAAATACCCCCTCAGATAATTCTAGTAACTATCTCCATGACAACATACATTTAAGAATCAATGGCCATAGTCAAAAAAGGTGTTAAAATATCTTATTCGCTGAACTGATAATTATGTCGGTGAAATTGACGTGTGTGTAGAAAGGCTTACAAGAATTAAAGTATGAGGAAGATGATAAATAAATAAGGAAATAAATTAAATGATGTATCCCTGTAATATGATTTATAAACTTTCAATTAATGTAAAGATGTTGAAGCTATCTCACCCTTCACCAAGTACAGTGCCTCGGGTGTTGTCTCTTCAATAACCAAATCAAAGAAGGAAACTTGTGTACCTTCATAAAAATTCCTTCCCTGATTTACATATTATGAAGTTCTTCCTTTCTCCCAAGACCTTTGAGACACCTCCAACTATTCCTCTACACAAGCTTCTCCCGATCCACTGTAATCCCTATTCTAAATGTGGTTCTCAAGTACCTAACATAACCACTTAACATTATCCAGTTAACGCCTCTCTTTAAACTCGAATTCACTCCCATTATTCGTGTTGTATGTTTTCATCGCGGAGATAATTTTTTTTTTATTATAATGTTCTACACCAATCAAGCCTCCTTATAGGTCACCCAGATCAACATTCAGACGACAATCTACAGAGTCGGCCACGAGGGTCTTGAGTATATTATCTCAAGCCAGTTCCGACTCCCTCGCTCACGAACTGGATATCTATCAACCAACTGGCGTTTTATAACAAGGTATTTTAAAACAGATTAAGGTCTACTGAGTGGGGCCCTCAGTCCAGCACAAGAGCATCACCAGACACATGTGTTAACTAATATACTGTACATACCTTAACAAAAACCTGGTAGGTGTAATTTTTGTGTTTCAGAAGTGTCTATATTGTATAGCCTTTCAATATGGCTGTTTCCTAGATGTATACAGTATTTATTTTGCAGTTTTATTCATATTTCCCCAAAAAATCATTGAAGCAGCTTCCCGTCTTTCCATATGACACAGTACAATTAGTTTAAGAAATGCCTCACTATTTTTGATGGCCAGCTCAACAACCTGAAGTCTACAGCCGTTGCCCAATACGTGGGTCTTTAATATTCAGTTATACAGAGACTCATATGGATGGAGTGTTGGACTGTACTGTACTACAAACAGGAGTATTAAGCCATTTGTTTGTTCCCTCAGATCAGATGATATAATCCTTGGATAGCTTTCGACTTAATTATTTTGGTTACTTGGTGCATCCCGGCTCAAAATTAAATGATTTTGTGGTCATATTCATTGTCATATCTTAATAGTGAAGATATTTTGAGATTCAATGTTGGGAAGAACTTATATGCTGCTACACAAATGGTAAAATACTTAAAATGATTTAGCTGTGAAAAAGGGGAGAAGATCTGCCTGTGGCATCCCACTGAGGAAAATGAAGTTTGGGACAGGAGAAGCAGTATGTCAGTGCCCCTTGGCTACTGTCAACGTGGCTTAATGATATCTTCCACTTAACATCAACTGAGAATACGAATAAAAAATTGACTTCCGTTATTCTTGTTTTCACTTACAGATGACATTTACTCTTGCTGAAGCATTAAACCTTAAACACTGCACCAATTTAAATGTAAATGCAGATAATTCATCATTAAACCAGGCCTTGTGCTGTAAGGCTCTGACAGTACTTAAGAGTTATCTGATATTTTCAACTTAGATAAATCATTGACTCAAGGAACCAAGGTCTTCCATCTTCCCAGTACTTATGAAACCTGAGTGTTTCTTACATGTTCATCTGCCCCGTCGAAACAATCGTCTTCCCCATCACACTTCCAAGATTTCTCTATGCATTGCCCATCACTGCACTGCATCTAAGTAACAAAACAAGGGAAAAGACAAATGTTGACACAGGACCCACAGAAATGAGTTAGTCATGGCATTCAGTTTCTTGCAATGAATTCTTACATGTTCATCAGATCCATCGCTGCAGTCACTTTTGCCATCACAAACCAGGCTGCGGTCTACGCATGACTCGTCTGCACAAGCCATCTGTTGGGTTACACGTTAGGCGAAGGTTTACAGGGAGAGAGAGTTCTAACATCTACCTATGAAGAAGAAAGATCTTAATGAATGGCATCAAGTGATCTTAATACATGAAGTCATACGTAACATTCCAGGGTTCAATTTTGTGATGCGTGGGTGACCATCAATGCTTAGCTAATACCAGTGTGACCAATATTTTATCATTAATAATTATCTGGTCACTAAAGAATCTGCTATCTTGGGGATAAGTTGAATACTTTATGGATAAATATCTCTTTTAAGCTATCACTGGCAAGGAACTTTAATCTATGAAGGTTTGAGTTGCTCTAAACAAGAGTTGAATGGTGAGGCCAATGGCAAATAAAACTTCCTCAAAATTAAGCGAGGAAATTAATTATATTTCTATCAGTCTCAACTATGTAATTATTAGTTTCTGGATAATACAATATCTAAATACAGTAAATCTTATTACAAAAAAGTATACTGAGACAGACTAAGATACACTACACCTTTCCTCTAATAACTTACTCCAAATCTACACACTTAAACATGCACAGCCACCAACTAAAGTTCTGTTGTCTCCTGCTGAACCACGAACACCAAGATTCAAACTCTTGAACCCGAAGCAATAGAGACTGATGCATTATTCTGTCCATAAATGCTTCGGATTCACGAGTCTGAATCTTGGGGATCGTGGTTCAGGAAGAGAGACAACAGGACATTTATGGGTGACTGCACAATATATTTAATGTGATTTACTGTATTAGGTTAAAATTCAGCAGTTACTAAAGAAAATACTTATGCATTACACAGATGAAATAGAAGTTGAAATTTATCTATTTTTAATAATCACATAAACACTAAGAGAACTCAACCGTAAACAACCGACCTGTGAGGTTAAGCACGTCATGTTTGGGCAGTTCGCTTCATCTGAGAAATCTTGGTCCCCACAGTCGTTGTCACCATCACACTGCCACCGTTTTGAGATACACAATCCAGATGAACAAGTGAACTGTTCCGAGGTGCAGGTAGCGTCTGCAAGTACAGTCAACAGTCATTAATCAAACCCTTGGTAAATATTGACTATGATCTGATGTAAAATACCTAAATCTATTTAAATTAATCATTTTGAATCAGTTTAAAAAATACCTAACCCAAACCACTTCCTTAAAAACACAAACACTGACATGAAATGGAAATAAATCTTAACATTTTCCTAAACTTATGTTTTTGTATTGTCTTCTAAACATTTTAAAACATACCAAGACTATTATCCTTCAAAAAACAAATTCTAATAATACAATGTCAGTTAAGGTGTTATATCATCAATTAATCAATATGGTTCTTCCTATATTATGCTCTACAAGTACAGTGCAAGCGTAGGTTCACGAGTTCACAGCCCAAAAAAGACAATTAATAAGTTTTGTTACATCACACAAAGCAACTCTGAAAACTGTCTATAACACATACAGTATATAAACTTATTGCACAAATTTTCTCACTAATTTTGTTACATTAGTTCACACAGTTGTCACCAGGGACACTAGTTCACACATATTAGTTATTAATGAATACTAGTTCTCACACTATTCACCATGGTTACTAGTTCACACACTAGTCATTTGATTGGAGTGTGACTTAGCTCTTTCCCCCTTGTCATGAATACTTGCCAAAATAAACGTTCCCTCTTTTCACACGTTTGTATTCCGTTGTAGCTGAAACTTACACGGAAGAATCAACAAATGTTACTCGGAGTGACTGTAGGAAAAGGCAATGAAGAAGTTGACGAATACACAAACTACACAAATTATGTCTAAAAACTCGTAGATTAAAAAATTCTTCTCCGATCACCATAGAAAAGAATAAATATCAACCTGTGTACAACTCTGCAAACACCAATCGCTTCTCAAAACACAATATCTGGGAGAAGCCACAGAACAATTCGCATATTAAACATATTTTTGTGTGTGTTTCTCAGTCCCTCTCGAACCCTTTTCCCCCACTAAGGTACAGGGCGTCTAGAATCAAAAACAAACACACACACTCCCCCTACAGTTGCAGTCATTCATTATAAATGCCATAACCAACGCGTTCTGCCATGGTCTCCCCTTCCATAACTGAGGCTACATGATAACAAACTGGATTTTCTGTTCCTTTATGCAAGTTTGTATTACCAGCCACCAGCAAGTCCATGTGTGAGAGAGAAGAGAAGAGAAGAGAACTTACATAACTTATCAACACTCATACTACCATCTCACCACTTTGTTCCAGCCTTTACCTACCACATTTTACATTCCTCTTTGATCTTTTCCCCCACTGTATCACTTTCATAGGCAAGTTAAGTTAATAAATACATAGAATTACAGTTCAAAATTTTCATAATCACTGTATCAATATCGAGTTATTTTGTTCACTGATTGAATGCTGGAGAGAGAGGGAGGGAGAGAGAGAGAGATAGAGAGAGAGAGTTCTGAGGAGATAACTGCATTGTCTGGGGTTGAGAATATAGACTTAAATTCCATATTCAGGTTTGCAGGATCAGATGGCCTTACACGGAGGTTCCATTCACTCATGTGCACAATTAATCAACGCTCTCAGACAGGCAGCGTGAATGCCATTGTTCTCAAAATGACTTATAATATTAGTTGCCACATATCATTTACTATTTACTACTATTTCCTCAAGGTACTATACTGTATTTGGTAAATCTGTACAGTACTGTATAATGGTGTACATTATTCTCTTAGGAATATCTTTAATAATAATAATAATAATAAGTTGGTGATATAAACAACACTAAATAATTGCTTCCTAAAAAACAACAAAGATTATAATTATAATACTGTACAGTATATACAATAAAATAAGGATTATTTTCTTGACACCTGACAATCTATACATATAAGCAACAATGTATATTATCACTATACTTCAACTACACACAAACTCACAAACTTTAAGCATCAATCTGTTCCCAAATCAACCCACAGGAACAACACATAAATTCACGTCAATTATTGCTTTTATTTATTATCCAAGAGAAGCAACAACAACAACATCAATTTACGGGTATTTTCCACATTCGGAGGTTCATCAGTATTGTACATACACAAACATCAAGACCAGGAAGTGGTATCGTCAATTAAAAGCTTTGTTGTGACTAGTGAACAAACACCAACGAAATAAATAATGGTTGAGTGCTCTTGACTAATGCTATCACATGATCTGTTTTCTACACAGACGTCATTTACATATCCAGTGTATTCCAATCGCCACAGTATGTTTCCAATTACCGCACCTGGTTATACAAGTCGACACACACACACACACTATTACATTACGTTTAATTACAATATTGGGACCAGACAGCAGGCCTTTAATGAATCAGATATTCAAGCCTCCTAAATGCTGGAATCATTATGGTTACAACCTCTCTGTTGTATATCCACCTATTATATCTCCTCCTCTCTCACTTGTTTGTGTGTGATGGATCAAGGGTTACTGAAGTCATGAGCAAAGGGCATAAGACAAATGTAATCATATAATATAACAGAAGGCTGGGTTAACTCCTTCACTATGGGGATGCCACTTTTAATATTTTATTTGGTTAATGCCAGATGATTTTATTCAGCTCAAGGGGGAATATATTTACAAGGGGCTAACAAGAGAAGTGCTCCACACCCTTAATATGTACTGTATTGAGAGTTTGTTATTGAGTCACACACAATACACCATATTTTCTGTAGTTCCCAAACATGGGTTACAAAATAAAAGCTGGAGCCCTTTTAAACTATCAAGCTATGGTCCATTTCCTATTTCATAGTAATGCTGTAATGGCCAAGTTTAACTATTCAGTACACTACACGATACTGCTGTACAGGTGTTTACATAACATTGATGGTCGAGGATGTTAGGTAGGGTAATACTAGCAACATAACAGGGGGTGAAATAGCTATTAATATTGCATTTTCAATAGACAATTCCCATAGTGTGATGCAAATTTGGTACTACATATAGGTAGTTGTAATTTGTTCATCATTGCATTGCAGATTTTGTCATTATTTTTTTTTTCTGAAACTGTTATGTCTCTTGTATGGTTTTAATGATTACCACAACAGACACACCATAACGGGGCAATCTGGGAAACACCTCTGATGCAACACTAACTCAAACATCATAAAAAGGTGAGGATTATGACACACCCTGTATATATCGGCTATGATAATGACATACCCTGTATATACCTGCCTAAAAGTACTGTTCAACACCAAAATTTAAATACAAGAGAATGAAAGAAAGAAAGAAAGAAAGAAAGAAAGAAAGAAAGAAAGAAAGAATAAAATACACATAGTTTTCCATCCATTAGTATGAACGACATACTTCAACTTACATTCCTAATCATTACACTTGACATTATTATCTGACCCTTAAACACTGACCTATGATATCTTGACTACAATTTCTTTATGATAACTAAACTATTACCCATATATAACACTCCTGATATCACTCTGTCTTCAGCCCCACAATTCCTAACAACATCTACACATTCTGACCTTCATTTTGGGTAAGAATCTTCATCTGGGTTTTATTAAATTTGTGAATTATGTTTTAAGTTTTCCTTTAAATAAATTTGTATTTTTATTATTCACATTCATTATCAACTTTACATTCTACTCTTTGTTCCATTCATGCCAGTCTTATTCACTCTTTGTAACCAATCAAAACTTTCATTTGTAGTCCCTTAAAATCAGCAAAAAAATACAACCCTGTCACAATAGTTTACCACATCAATGATTCACTCTGAACTGTATCCTAACCTAAACTGACCTAATATGACCGAACCGAACCCATCCAAACCCAAACTAACTTAATGCCTTTACACACCCCCACCCGTCTCTCTGTACTGTACTTTTGACAATAATCCTCACAACCTCTCCCCTTTATACAGAGGTTCAATCAGAGTATCAGTCCAGTTAGTCCCCAGGTACCTAACCCTCCTGCCAGACTTTGATATATATTGCATGAACGAATTTTTGTTTTGCTACACCTTCCCGTAACATCTCTCCCCACTCGCTGATTCCCAATAGACGTTTATTTTGTTTCCCGATCTATGCATGACTCACTAATAGATGTTCACTTTGTTTTCTGATCTATACCTGACTTTCTCTGACTCGCTGATAATATAATTTTGGTTTTTCTATGATAGTTTGTTGTGATTTATTAAAACCACTTAATCCCTTGTGTATGGGGTTCCCTCTGAGCTGAATAAAATCATCTTGCCAAATAAAATGTCAAAAGTGGCATCCCCATAGTGAAGGGGTAAACAGGTCCTCCATAAACCAAACTGAACTAAATCAAATAATTATATTTAACTGGACTGACAGTTCTGCTTATGACTATGACTGACACTCACTCATGGAGAAAAAATTAAATTACTTTTCAATATTCTTCCTTCATTTTTAGTTCATGTTATTAACCTTTATCCCACATCTAATTCCAGCCTAAATATCATTAAAAAAAAAAAAAAAAGCTGCTCATCATTGCATACGTATAACATTTCTTGATAACATTTACAGGTTTTTCGTCTTTTCTTAATATTCTGTTTCTAATTTTACATCTTAAACTATTCTCCTCCTCCATACACATTTACCATCATGACAGGACCCTAATGAGACTTATTCTATTAAAGACAACAAGAGTCTATTATCTCCCATAATTTTAACTGTTGATGACCTGTGTAATTACCAGACTAATTATCCTCTTAAAGACCTTAGTTGTTGAAGTGTAGGAATTACCAATAATTATTACATCAGGCAGAGGAGTTGAAATATCACTTAACATCTAGATTAAGTTAAGAGGAGTTATAAATAATTACCAATAACTAGACATCCCAAACCTAACCTAACTGAACCACTTATCATGTCTCCCTCTAATGCCTTGCCTCACCTTCCCCAATGCTGCCACTGATAACCAGCTCGGAAATTTCCATCAGTAATACATAACTAGAATCCCTGTACAGCATATCTTATCTTTCTTCCTCTCTACTCCTTGTGTGGGGGAGATCAAGGGTTAAGATCAGGTGGAGGGGAATGATAGGTGGAGGGGAATGATAGGGTGGAGGGGAATGATAGGTGGAGGGGGATGATAGGTGGAGGGGGATGATAGGGTGGAGGGGAATGATAGGGGAGAGACATAAAAGACCAGGTTATGACAACACTGTATGTAAATCACCCTAACCCCTCACCTAGGATTAAACCCGACTCTACAACACCTGACTCTACACCCGACTCTAGTTTAAAACCAAGATGACCTCAGAACTAATGGTAAATGATTATTCTCCTTTCAGTTACTCATTATCCACACAGCCACACCTCTATATACCTGACCACATCACCCAGGTAACACACTCCCTCCCTCTTAACCCTTCCTTTCAATTTAGTTCATCATTCTTTACCTTAACCCTATCATTCTCCCTCAACCTGTCTCCTAATTAATTTTCCATATATCATTCACTCCCCCTCACATTCCATGCATCCAAATCAGACAGCCATTAATGTTTTGGGGCTTTTCTTTTTTTATAACGATTATTTTTTATTCCTTTCGTAATTTGTATGGGATGTGACAAGAGGCAGAGAGAGGGCGAGATATATGTATGGAAAACAACCCTCTCCTCCTCTCTCTCTCATAAACACACACGCACACACACACACACACGTACAGAATATCCTCAACTTACATACGCAATATACTGTACAATGTGAACTTCCCTCATCATACCTTTAAATCAATTCAGTGAGGATAATAATGATGGCAACACACCAAACCTGAGGCAGCACCACTAACAATAACCAGATACATCTAGGGTTCAAGTTGTGCTTTGACGAATATACAGTAAATTGATCTAAATAACAGAATTTACATCCATCTTCCATCATCTTCCCACTTGTTGGATTTTACTGTGAAACATCAACGTCTGTCAACTTTTGAATATATTTGGGGTAATTTATTCGTCACGCAAGACTATACCATCTCCGTCTAATTCTCCGGCCACACACGCGATGCCTCCCTCTATATAATCTTCAGTTCATCTTCCCATCAGATAAATCAACTAATTGTCCCTTGCCTTAAGTAACTCTATAAGTGGGTTCTGTGTACTTATATTTTCTAACATCAACCACACTTATCACGTCTAAATGTTGTACTGTACCTCTTACACTCTTTCTCACACAGACACAGACACTTACACACACTGTACACAAAGTGATTCCTTAAATTCAACATTGATTTTCACTCTTTTATAATCACTCACTATAGGAATTGTGTTATGCCAGAATGTGTCCAATAATTCACTTTTATACTGTAAGGTCAAATTGCCTTATTGTTTACCACTGTTGTATGCCCACGGCGTACATGCACTGTATACCTACACTGTCTATACGGGTATTCATACTGAACTGTATACTGTACCTGAATAGTTTATATACATTACAGTACATGCCTAGCCAATTGTAAACCTGTATGACAACTTTACTCATTAAATATTATTATTACTGTAGTGAATTCCTAAAAATTCAAAGACACATCATCCTAAAATAGTTAACATGTGTCTCATTTTTTAATCATCACTATCTAATTTTTCTTTTACTCAATCTTCATTTCTATATTCACCCAGTTTGATTTCCTTCATCCTTCTTACAACAATTGTTCCCTTTACATACCAGAATACATCCCTAACTTAAACAAAGGCTTACATATATCCATAAATCACCCAACATATCTTTGCCCTAATGACTGAAACCATCCAGTATAATAAAAAAAATAGCAACTCTCTTTTTAACTTATTCCCCACAATTGTACAGAATAGTGGCAACACACAGATGAGGAGGGTTAGCTTAGTCCGGGGTCTCAGTCCAACAAAGTGAGTGGCTCTGTGTGCCTCATAAACAATAATGCACCCCACTCACAACTCTGCCTGGCCACGAGAACGACTTAAATAAATGGACTGGGAATCCTCAGTATTACCAACTTTATATTCTGGCCTTACACAACAAAATGTGATATAAACAATAACTGGGGTTACTATAGTGTGCAGGCTACATAGGTACTGTATGTTTAGTCTAACCTAACCTTTTCTACCTTAATCCAACTTAACCCAATCTAACTTAAACTTACCTACCCAAACCTTACTTTCCCCAACCTAACCTAAGTTACTGCTATATTTTAGGACGTGAAGTAAACAAGAACCTAAAATTCAGTAGAAATAAAGTCTAATCATTGCATGTCCTAAATTATAGTAATAACTTAGGGTTCTCAGAAAAAAGAAAGAAAAAAGACTGCACTTCATCAGATCTATTTGTCTTAACACAGGTTTAACACAGAGGCCATCTTGGAATATGACTGAATTAACAGTTCATAATTTTGTGATTTTAATGAATTTCAAATAGTCAGGGTCTGTAAGCTACACTGAACTGGACCCTTACAGTTCCCTAAGCCCCCAGCTAAAAATTCCCCACTCCCTCTCCGTATGCACAAAAATGGAAGGCTAGGAATGTACAATTTCCACATATAATAGCTGCCGTCCCTAAAGCTAACTTCCACCAATGAATGTTGCCATTTAAGGCCTAAGATAATAGCCATTTAACCAATACATTTATCACCCTAACAAACAACAAGAGATTCAAGTTTCTTACTACAAGACACTTCGTCGGATTCGTCATCACAATCAGCCGAACCATCACAAACCCAATTTAGTGGGATGCAATTCATTTTGTTGCCTCTATTGTGACAAGTGAATTCGTCAGCTTCACATTCTGCTTTATCTGCAAGTAAAACAAGGTTCATGCATTTGTTAGTATCAAGTGTTAGTAGGGGGAAACACACAGTGGCAGCATATTCACTAGAGGATGGACTTTGAGAATCTATGAGTGATCAATTCAACATCTACTCATGCTAAGTTCATCACTATCCTGGAAGATTTATCAGTCTCTCAATAAACCAGGATCCTACCAGTAACACCTTAATTACTGTACCTACAACTTATTCATTCACTGTCAATGTCCAGGTCCCACATATACAAATATAACTATGTAACCAAGATGTTGAGACAGTAGGTTCCTGATCAATCATGCACTGATGTTGCAAGAAGCAATTTTGAACATTTATGGGTGTCAAGATTTAATACTGTACCACAATATAGAAGATAATTTGTGTACTGGGAGAATCAAAACTGCTCCTGCAAAAACAAGTTTGGTAAAACACGCACACTTTAATCCCACACTCCTCTAACCCCACACAGATTTGGTGCGAGGCAGAGGGGCGACTTACTAAGACAGTTGACCTCATCTGACCCATCCTCACAATCAGGGTCTTCATCACAACGCCAGGACTTGGGGATGCACATTCCCATGTCACATCGCCACATGGGAATGTCACGATCTTTGCACGTCATTGGGACTGCGTGTGTACAGGAGCGAGATAAGACAACACGCACTGCTTTGACTGACAGCCAGAGACTACTTCAGTCCCACCAACAACACACAACCCCATGTAAATTATCCTGGGAAAGCCCTATGATGGGACCCCCTCTAAGAGAGACACTTTCTATGAAACTTAATATTTTATATATTAAACTTTAATTAAAAACAATTTATATGTGAATCAACTGTAATACAACATTTCATAATTAAATATAAAACAAATACTGTATTTTACTGAACATTAATACAGTAATCCCTACATGACCTACAAAATAAAAGGAAAAACTATAATTACCTAAAGCACAAATGGCACTTTAAACATATAACAAAACAGATAATGATAATCACTTGGTGAAGCATTAGGCAAAAAAGTGTCAAGTATATATGTGTTTGTATGGCAGCCTTAGTAATATTTAACTGTACTATCTACCATACAGTGTGAGTACTGCCCGTCATGAGATTTATAATATTAATGTGAATTTCTTTATTACAGCCCAATTCCATCGTTTTATTAAAGAAAATAAATAACAATTGAGTTTAATTCCATGTTAGTGGAGGCAGGATCACACCAACAAAATCGTATCTCTGTCTATCATGTAATAATCAGCTTATAACCTATGTAGTGTATAATCCAGCGAGTGAACATAAGCACAACACACCCACTGTATATACCCTGTAGCAACCATTGATGTAGTGCAGGTTGACGTTACAACAATTCGGTTTCCACCATAACGCGGTACAAATTCCCGTAGCATACGTAGCTCACAGGTGAATGCATCCCAGGTATTACTTTAAGTTAACTGCCAAGACCAATACAGTAGCATGAACGGGGCCCATGAACATTGGAGCCAAGATGATTTATAATGCTTGCAATATATAGAGTTGGCTCATAAATTTTAATTCCATCCATAAAGTGTTGTGGGGATTTTATGTGTAGTGAGAATACAGTCTAGCAGGGGTTCCTAAACTGGGCTACAAAGAGGATTTCCAGAGGGTACATGAATGATTGATTAAAATACAAGTACTGTAACTTCCTCTTCACACTTTGTATAGCTGTTTATTATACAAGTTAATATTTAAATAGGAGTTGACTCAGTATATTCTTTTCCTCCTCTGCTGGATAAAATGTTTTGATAAATATATTTCAGCAGATTTGTTTCATGGTGCCCAATCTGTATACATTAATCAATCACATTAATTACCTTTAGAAAATTATATCAGAACCCATAAACCAATGTAAATAAAAACTGATTTATACTCGTAATTAACATTTAAACATTGGTTGTAATCAAGGATATGATTTATGTTGATATTACTCGAACATTCGTGACAGCATACCATATATCCCTTAGCATTTTAGGTATCCTTTAACACCCCTTAAAAATATAAGGTTAATAAGAGGTTATACTTTGCTGTAAATAATGTTTAAAAAATACTACAGTACAGTACTTCATTTATCACAAAGTGTACATTTATTTCCACAATATGTCTTCCTTCAGAGATGTTTCTTATGGTGTCATCATTATTACAATTAGCTGAAATAGTTGGCTTTTAGATGCACTTTCCTGACTGACTGAGGGAAGTTTTCTTGCATATCCCAAGCCAGTTAACACCATAGGCCCCTCACTACACCTCCAGCTAACACCATAGGCTCCTCACTACACCTCCAGCTAACACCACAAACTCCTCACTACACCTCCAGCTAACACCATAGGCTCCTCACTACACCTCCAGCTAACACCATAGGCTCCTCACTACACCTCCAGCTGACACCATAGGCTCCTCACTACACCTCCAGCTAACACCACAAACTCCTCACTACACCTCCAGCTAACACCATAGGCTCCTCACTACACCTCCAGCTAACACCATAGGCTCCTCACTACACCTCCAACTCACTTTGCCCTACAACAGAGTGTAATTCATACCGATAAAATCTTCAGTGTTGTAATAGCTTAGTGTATTATGCAATTAACTTAGAACACAACAGCCAGGAGCCAGATCTTGTCTTATAAAGTTTTAATGAATTGGGATATTTTTAATTTGGTTGGTAAGTCTCCATTCAGTATTTAAACAGTATCTGGTGCCTCTGAGCTGCCCTAGACAATACATAATTAACATGATGTCTTAACAATACCACCCATGAGGGATTTTGGCTGTGGGGAAAAATAAAATAAAAAATCTTAAAAGTAAGCAATGATTCAGGATAAGATTCCAAGCAAACAAAGGCATCTGCTATCTAATTTTCCAGCAATTTCCTTCAGTAATTAGGTAACAAATTACATGCTTTGCCTCATTCACTGTTGCTATTCTTTACAAGTGTTCAGTGAATGCAAGTCTTCTCCTCTGAGCCAAAGTACAGAAAATATTATCCACCTCCTCATTGTTTTATACGATTCTTAAACATTATTTGAGGTTTCCACAGCTTATTTCACCTCAAGATTAACCACCCTAACCTTACCTAATGCTAACTTAATCTAACCTAACGTAAACCTAACATTACCTAACCTCAACCATACCTAACATAACCTAATCCAATCTAACTTAACTTAACCTAACTTCATATCACCCTCCTACCCCTAAAATTGTCTTAGTGTGGTTAATGTACTGTGTCCTGTTTACCACTTGTCTGTCAGCTGGGCGGGCGGTCAGTGCTGTATTACACAATCATAAATACAGTACAGTACAGTACATGTGTTTGGTTCTGTATACAACAATTTAATACAGTAATGATGATTCAGATTGTATTCATCAACTAGACCAAATGATTCATATGTATACTTTTCTATCAAGAGTTAAGCTAAGACATGACTATTAGCTATTTCATATCATTTTAACTCACACACGGCCAATGTTTTACACACAGGTGTTAACTGGTTGTCAATGGATTATCCAGTGAATTATCCCTAAGCACTAAATAATTCCTGTCATCAATAGATATCTGGTCTAAATTGTGTCATGTTCCCAGTATCTAAAACACAGTTCATGTAATGTTTAATGAATAGTATATTTTGACTTCTACATAAATTAAACATCTTTTTAACAGACTATGTAGAGGAAAGTCCGTTATATCGAGAGTCCGCTAAATGTGAAACCTCCACCTAACAAACTATTAGAGATGAAAGTCCGTTATATCAAGGGTCCGCTAAATGTGAAACCTCCATCAAACGGATTATAATGAAGAGAAAAGTCTATTATATAGTGGCACAGAATGACATTACCTCTGTAACTTTTATAATGTCGTCCATATCATCCTTTGTGTACAATGAGCTGTTTTACGACCAACAACGAGATCAAAGGAACCAACTTTCTCTCCCCAGGAAATAAATGTACACTTTGTAACTAAAAAAAAACAACTGAACATATAACTTTGTGGGGCCTTTACCAGTGTATTTTAACAGAAGTTTTCAACGTGGAATTTATACACGGACTTTGAAATTCAGTTTAATATACAACAGAGAGAGAGAACTTGGCTGTGTGGGATTTAACGCTTTCAGGTTGATATGTAGCGTGTAAATAAAGACGTGTTCAGGCTGGGGTGATGGGTGTAGTGTAACCGGGGTGATGGGTGTAGTGTAACCGGGGTGATGGGTGTAGTGTAACCGGGGTGATGGGTGTAGTGTAACCGGGGTGATGGGTGTAGTGTAACCAAGGGATTTCCAGATTGGGGTATGGTGGTTTATTGATTGGGGCAGGGAGGTTTACTAATTAGGGGCAAGGTAAAAGAAACTGGGACATGGAAGCTTTCTAATTGAGGGCAAGGCAGCGATTTAGGGCATGGAAGTTTACTGATTGGGGGCAAGACAGCGATTAGAAACATGAAGGTTTACTAAAAGGACTAATTGGGGGGGAAGACAAGGCAAAAATTGTAACCGAGACTTACCACAGTGTTTGGGATCTTCGTCGGACCCGTCCTCACAATCCGCCTCAGAGTCGCACTGCCATCGTAGGGGTATACACTTGCCACTCCCACACTGAAACTCCACGTCCTTACACACATGATCTGGAAAGCAAGGATATGTTGTTAAATTCTATTAATCTATACAGTACACATTGTTAAATATTCACATGGTATCTATCTCTTTTATTTTCTCTTTCTCTCTCATTCCTCTCTTTCTCTCTCACTTTCATTCCCCAACCTCTCTCTCTCTCTCTCTCTCTAAGTATGTAGTCACGTGATGTAAACTTGGAATAATTAATCACCATAAATAATAATAATAAAAACTGCAACTACCTGAAGATGAGTTTGACTAATGACTAAAGTACAGGTATTCATTGCGGTATATAGGAGGTAATGTACTGTACTGTCCCTCGAAATAATGGACTTTCATCTCTATATAATCCGTTAGATGGAGGTTTCATATCTAATGTACCCTCGATATAACGGACTTTCATCTCTATATACGTAGTTTGCTAAATTAGACGTGAAATCACTAAGTTAAAACTCCTTAATCATACAACAACAACATCAACTACAACAACACAATCTAAAATCCCCCTAATTGCTTCCTCCACAACGGGACCGGTGTTGAGTACTGAATACGCCCCCACACAATGCACGAATGCTCACCCAGCCAAACCTTTATGCATACACACACACATACACTAACACACATGCAATCCGCGGGACGCACACAAATTAATCTCTCTCTCTCTCTCTCTCTCTCTCTCTCTTTATCGGCTCGTACACCCACAAACAATAACTTTAGGCTTGATGATGGTTTGAGATAGATAGATAGATAGATAGATAGATAGATAGATAGATAGATAGATAGATAGATAGATTCGAGGTTCGCCATGTTGGTCTGTGTTCCTTTTCGCTTTTCTGGGGAGAAGGAAATTCACCATCCGAATTCTTGAGAAAATTGAGAATCTTGAGTCTTACCTTTTGTCCGCTGTGTTTGTTCAGTTCCATTTCCTTCATTCACAGACCCATTTTCTTCACTCACAGCCCCATTTCCTTCATTCACAGACCTATTTCCTTCATTCACAGACCTATTTCCTTCATTCACAGACCTATTTCCTTCATTCACAAACCCATTCCCTTCACTCAGTCCCATTTCCTTCACTCAGCCCCATTTTCTTCACTCACAGCCCCATTTCCTTCATTCACAGACCTATTTCCTTCACTCACAGACCCATTTCCTTCATTCACAGACCTATTCCCTTCACTCAGTCCCATTTCCTTCACTCACAGACCCATTTTCTTCACTCAGTCCCAATTTCTTCTCTCACAGCCCCATTGACCAAACGCTTCAAGAGTTCACCTATTCTTTCACAAGTTTTTCCCGGTTTAATTAAATTTCACAAGGCTTTCTTTTCACCTGACAATGGTTCCAGGTAAAATGTATTTGAGCATCACAGTGTACTCAACTCTACCTGGTATCTACCTGCAGGTTTATTTCCCCAGGTGTTCTGCTTAAGTAAATAGAAAAATATTTAAACAGGATAAATTTGTTTAGCTCGATGTGTGTATGTATGTATTTATCTCTCAAGTTGTATTTAATAATGTTGTAGTAGTAGTAGTAGTAGTAGTAGTAGTAGTAGTAGTAGTAGTAGTAGTAGTAGTAGTAGTAGTAGTAGTAGTAGTAGTAGTAGTAACAATAATAATAATAACAGCAACAACAACGATAATAACAACATTAACAACAACAATAACAACTCAACATATAACCCATCTCTCACATGACCCTCTGTACGTGACCTATGACCTCTCTCCTCACCCCCCAATAAGGGTCAGTTTAACACTATAATCCCCTGGGAGTGAAGGGTCAACAAACTCATCCAATCATTAAGCAACCAATCCAAATTACATTACAAGGGATTAGCTATTCAGATTATCAAGATTAAATGGTCAACTTTAGTCTGTGTAGCTGAGAATTAATAAATTATTAAATGAATTATCGTCATTAATATTGGAATTATTGGGTGGAATAACGTGTGTGTGTGTTTTATAGTTACATCAACAATTAAATAAAAAAAAACATTTCCAACAGCACACAAACGTTCAGATCCCTTTACTTCTCGTTCAGATCCTCCTAATGAACGTTCAGATTTTTCCCTAAGACGTTCAGATCCTACTCTAAGCCGTTCAGATCCTCCCCTAAGACGTTCAGATTCTTCCCTAAGCCGTTCAAATTCTCCCCTAAGACGACCAGATCCTCCAACCAGTATCACACTCCCCCACAGGAACCTATAATTAATAAACCCTACACAAAGGTCAACAACCAACCTACACAAGCCTTGGTGCCAAACTTTAGATGAAGAATAAACAAAAGAGGACCAGCAGGAGACAAAGGAGCATCAGACTCCCTTTATTATACACGGGAAATCCACTATAAACTATAATAACAAAAGAGAATCGGGTTTTTTGGAGGGTCTTAAGCGATCCCATACCACAGCAAGGAAGTTTTAAAGTGGCTATAAGGGATAAAGACAGAATAGAATCGGATCTTTTACGTACGTCTTAAACGACCCTACACCTGAGGGTAGAAACTATGAAAGAGGGTCGGATTCTTTCCATCTTCAACGCGGAATTTTAATACAAATCATTAAATGGTGGAAAAAGGGTCAGATTCCGTCTATATTACGAGACCCTCTTCTCCAGCACGGAAACGCTTTAATAAAAACAATAAAAACAAAAGAGGGTCGGATTCCTTCCCTCTAGGCCGATTCTATATTCGGTGAGGATACTGATATAAACAGGAAAGACAAAAGAGGATCAGATTGCTGCTGATCCTCTACCATAAACTCAGGAAACAGGCTCGACCTCAGATAGCAACAAAGGCCTCTTGGATCCCCCACGACCAAAGCGACAAGGGGTTCTGACTCCCACTCCCCCCCTCCCCCAGGGATCTATTGCGCTGAAAAACTACAAGCCATTGGGCAGAAGAACAAAGAAAAAGAGATAATCACAATGGCCCGGAGCCTCTTCCATAAACTGGGCCTTTCTCTGTGGTAGAACAAAAGCCTATCGGATCCAACACGACCATGGAGACAAGGCGGTTCCGAACCTTCAGGCATCTATGACAAGACGCAACAAAAAAATACCAAGTTGTCAGGATGAAAAACAAAAGACAATCGTGACCAAGAAGAGCTGCTTGATCTCCTTCCATAAACTCGATCCTCCCCTTGTGATCGACCGGGAGCTTCTCGGATCCCACAAGACCGCGGAGACAAGAGGTTCCGATCTTCAGGCTTCTATGACGACCAGATAATAGGCGGGAAATTACAAGCTGTCAGGATCCTTATCTCTCCCGTTTGTCACTCGTGCCATGACTACGAATACCATTAATCATTTTCCATTCTGAGGGAGGGGAGGGATGGGTGGGAGGTAAGAGGGAGAGAGCGGAGAGACGGTGGCTGGGTGGGAGGGAGGGAAGGGGGAGAAGGAGGGTTAGTGGGTGGGTAGGAAGGAGAGAGAGGAGGATGGGTGGGAGGGAAGGAGAGAGGAGGAGGGGGATGGGTGGGAGGTAAGAGGGAGAGAGCGGAGAGACGGTGGCTGGGTGGGTAGGAAGGACGGAGAAAGGAGGATGGGTGGGAGGGAAGGAGAGAGAGGAGATGGAGGGAAGGAAGGAAGGAAATAAGGGAGGGAAATGAGAGAAAGGAAGGAAGGAGGGAGGGAGAGAAGGAAGTAACGAACAAACGAAATAAGGAAGGAAGGAAGGAGGGAAGGAAGGCAAGAAGGAAGGAAGGAAGGAAGCAACATATCCCACCTTCTAAACGTAATTCAAAGTGTCAAAAGCGCCTCTGATATAATTAAATTAGTTGCACGACGCCGCTTTCAAACACGCTACATATTTCAATGGATTTTTCCCCCCTCAGAGAGATACGCTTTCAAAGGACTCCGTCACAGAGTTTCACATGTTAAGCTAAAACCCTAAGGAATAATATCATAAATACATGACTAGGGCGTTCCTTAGGTCGCTTGGGGGGTGGGGGGGGGGGTGATTTATTTCCTGCAGTTGCTTTCATGACTTCAACTTACTTCATTCACAGCCTCGCCCCTTCATTCGTTTGTTTGCTTTTAGGGGTTTTCATTCACGTCAGTTTGTTTTCATTTGCTTTCTTCATTCACTATCACAGCTTCGTGAGCAAATATTCATTTATGGCCTGTATTTAATTACTAATCTAAAATGCTGACTCACTCTCTCTCTCTCTCAACACAGAAAACACCTCCATACACATCCTACCCACATATATATATACCCACACCCATACACCCGCTCACTCTCACCATCCACACAACACCTCACCTCCCCCCAAGACCTTCAGTCACCCACAAACACCCAGTTCCCACACATCCACAAACATAACCCAGCCCACACCCACATTCCTACACTTCACGACACGACAACTCATTTGGCCCTCAGAGGCTCCCAGTCCCCAACAATTTTCAGGAAAAAAGAAAACTCCGCATTGGTTTTCACTTCCCTCCCACAATGTAAAGGTCACGAGGGCACTTTCAGACACTTGGACACGCACATTGGTTTTCACTTCCCTCCCACAATGTAAAGGTCACGAGGGCACTTTCAGACACTTGGACACGCACTTATCTATATATTGCTCTTCGTGGGTATACATTAGTGCTTATTATTTCCCGCCCAAAAACTACAGTGGATGCGTATCTAAAATATTTCTCAGATATATTCTTTGTTCTTATCAATATCCCCCCAACACTGCAGATCTCTTTATGACAATCATCCCTTATGACTTAATGACATATATACCTTAATACTAATTGAATCTCCATCAGTAAATACTTCCAATCATCTAATATACTATAGGACTAGGCGTGTGTGTTTGTGTGTCTGTTCTGGGCAGCCGAAAAAGGCACAATCGTTTTTCATCAAACTTGGTGGAAAAATCGCAAAAAAATCGTAGAGTGGAACAAACCTGGTCCCATGTCGATGGTTTCTTTAGGAAGGCATTAATTAACAATTTTATTTACGATGGAAAACGATGCAAGTCTACGGACTTGGCGCACCCTAATTAACCGTGTAAGTCTACGGACTTGGCGACCCTCACTCGC